ATTAGTAAGAATTAATAAGAATGGATTTAAAAAAGGTCAATATACAGTTGTATCATGTCATCTAACTGAGGGTATAAATTCTAAAAACCTTCCAGCAGTATTTACATTTGTGGATTTTAGGAAAGCTTTTGAATCTATACACAGAGGAATGCACATGGAAATACTCACGGTGTATGGAATACCAACTAAAACCATCTTAGCTATCAGTATGCTATGTACAGATACGATAGCACGGGTACTATCATCAGATAGAGACATAATTTTTTTAAATGCCAGTTGGAGATGCACAAGCCCCATTTCTGTTCATCACTACCCTTTACTATGCAATGAGATTTGCAACTAAAAATGAGAAAAATATTGGGTTTACCTTAGAAGGAAGAGGTGTCATTACCCCTGAATTTCCCATCACAGATACAGACTTTGCAGATGATTTGGCTCTTGTATCCAAAAACAAGCATGACTATTCTAATCTGCTGCAGTACTATTATATAAATCAAATTAAAATTCATGTCTTTTAGTCAAGCAGAAGAAGAGATCAAAGGTGACAATTTAAATCAAAGGATAATTTTTATATCTGTGATCATAATTGCACTTTACAAAAAATAAAAAATGTTAGAACTGCAATGGTATAGGCAGCACTATAAAAAATGGATACCATCTAGAAGTCACAAATAAAAAAGATTTTGGAAGTGCAACTCCTTGCAGTAGAAACAGTCCTTTTATATGGGTCAAGCTGGTAGACATTAATAAAATCTATGATAAAATACTAGATGATACATGTGCTTGATTATTGATAGTTGTGCTAAATGTCAGCAGGAAACAATATGATGGCAGTAGGCAATGATAGTTTCATAATGTTATAGACAAGCATATGATTGCAAGAAAGAAATACGACAACAGTAGAAATAGATTTACGTGATTTATTTCAATGGGAACATGTGGTTTTGGGACAGCTACCTTGTGGTATAGTTCATAGGCTGCCTGAAGATCTGGGTTGATCTCTCATAGTAGTTCTCGCTGGTTGGCATGGCGCTCCTCCTGCTGACTTCCCAGACTGACCGTGACAGGTCTCTTCCCTGGCCTCCTGTTGACTGCCTTGTACTTCACAATGTGACCCCTTTTATGGCATTTTTTATGGCTTAACAGGCTCAAAAAACGACGTGAGTATAATTTGGAGGGAAGCATTTTTATTGGTTGAAAAATAGAAACACTTTAAAATGTTATTTTATTTTTCGACCAGAACTCGTGCATCGGGAATATGCGTAAACGACGATAATGGTCATTTTGTGATGGGGCCTTGTCCCATTCACATCCGGCTCTCACTCTTGAGTATGTTAGTTTATTTGCCTGCAAATCAGCAGAGATATGTCTTATTTTATTTTATAACAATAAGAATAAATGTATCATGAAAATGTATATACAGTCTACTCCAAATGTATTGGAACAGCAACGTCAATTCCTTTGTTTTTGTTGTTCACTGAAGACATTTTGGTTTATGATCAAAAGATGGATATGAGACGAGTTCAAAATTTCAGCTTTTATTTCCTAGTATTTACAGTTAGATATGTCAAACACCTTAGGACATACCACTTTTTCTATCAGATCACCCCATTTTCTGGTGAGTCAAAGGAACAGATGGTTTTAAAGTAAATAACATTAATATTTGGTTGTATAACCCTTACTTACAATAACTGTATCAAGCCTGTGATTCAGTGGCATCACCAAACTGTTGCATTCTTCATTTGCGATGGTTTTTTAGACTTTTAACACAGCCTCTTTCAGTTCTTGTTTGTTTCGAGGGTTTCTTCTTTCAGTCTCCTCTTCAGGAGATGAAATGCATGCTCTATTGGATTGTAGTCTGGTGATTGACTTGGCCAGTCTAAAACTGTTCACATTTTTCTGCTAATGAAGGACTTTGTTGTCGTGGCAGTATATTTTCGGTCATTGTCCTGGTGCATGATAAACTTCCTCCCAATTAGTTTGGATGCATTTCTCTGTAAATTGTCAAACAGAATATTTCTGTAGGCTTCTGAATTCATTCTGCTGCTAGCATCATGAGTTACATCATCAATAAATATGAATGAGCCTGTTCCAAAAGCAGCCTGGCAAGCCCAAGCCAAGACACTGCCTCCATCATACTTCACAGATGAGTTTGTATGCTTTGAATCATAAACAGATCTTTCATTTCTACACACTTTGGCTTTTCCATCACTTCAGTAGAGATTAATCTTGGTCTCATCAATCTATAAAACTTTCTTCCAGAACTTTTGCTGCTCATCTCTGTAATTCCTTGCAAATTTCAATCTGGCCTTCTGATTCTTACTGCTGATCAGTGGTTTGCATCTTGTGTTATGGTCTCTATATTTCTGCTCTCAAAGTCTTCTTCAAACAGTGGATTGTGAAACCTTCACCCCTGACCTGGAGGTTGTTGGTGATGTCATTGACTGTTGCTTTGTGGTTTTTCCTTACAGTTCTCACAGTATTTCTGTCATCAATTACTGTTGTTTTCCTTGGCGAGCCTGTTCTGTTTGTTGCTCACTACACCAGTAGATTTTTCTTTTTCAGGACTTTGCAAATTGTTGTGCTTTGATCAATTTTCTTTCTTTTCTCAGGTTCAAAATGGTTCATTTTTCTCCTATAAACAGCTGACTCATCACATCCTTTTTAACAAAAAATTCAGTCTTTACAGGTGAAACTCAAGGCTAACATTAAGAGTAGTCATTCAGAACTATTTAATGTTTAAAAATCGGTCTAAAAGGCAACACCTGAGCAACAAGAAACACCTGTCAATCATGTTTCAGTAGTTTTGCTCACTTGAAAAATGTGTGGGTTCAAACAAAAAGTTTTTTAACACATCTAAAGGTAAATACCAGCAAATAAAAGCTGAAATTCTGTAATTCTTTTCTCATATTCATCTTTTGATCTTAAAACCAAATATCTTCAGTAAACAACAAAAACAAATGAACTGACCTTATTTTTCCAATACTTTTGGAGGGGACTGTATATGATGACAGCAGGCAATGTTAATTTCATAAAGGTAAATATAGCTTTAAAAGGTATATATATGTTGACAGCAACAATATAAGTTTCATAAAGATGAGTATCTTTTGACAATATATATATATATATATATATATATATATATATATATGTGTGTGTGTGTTGACAGAGCGGCAATACAAGTTTAATAAATATAAGTATCTTTTGAAAATGTATATATATTTTGACATCAGATAATGTTAATTTAATAAAGATAAGTATATTTTGAAAATGTCTATATATGTTGACAGTAGAATATAGGCTTCATAAAGATAAGTAACTCTTGCAAATATATATATATATATATTGAAAGCAGGCAATGTGTGTTTCATGAAGATAAGTATATCTTCAAAATGTATATATATGTTAACAGCAACAATATGAGTTTCATAAAGATAAATATGTCTATATAGAAATCGACCAAAGATTAAGAACGCAATCTGTGAAAGGCGAGAGTTTTCATGGCCACTGCAGGAGAAGGTTTTTTTTATAATACTATTGGTCACCCAATACATGTCCAAAAAGCCCCTCAAGGTAGAAGGTTACTGAATGAGGTTGTTGTAAGATTGCAAAGGGATGAAAAAAGAAATGCGTCTTATGACGATATGTAGGATAGATAACAGTTGACTTTAGATTAGAAGAGCTTGTAGTGATTGGGGAAGCACACTCTCAGAAATCTGTTCCACAAAGTTGTGGTTCTTGGGATGATGATGTCAGAGAAGAACTTCTTCCTTACCAATGGAATATGAAGGGAATGACAATGAGTGAACTCTGTGTACATTGCATGGCAGGTCCTAGCTGTGAAAGTCTGAACTGGTAGAACTCAGGAATGTATTTTCTTTGAACATTTATATAGTGATAAAGTAGTGAGCGTCTGGCAATGTTATTTTTTTGTGTCAGAGAAGTTGTAAGGGTGAAAATTAATTCATCCCCCACAAGGCTGCATAAACGTTTTTGTGTAGGCAAGAAGTTGTGCATCGTTATGATCGGAAATAAATCATGGAAAAAGATCAAGTAGTAGACCAAAAAAAACCTTCATTGATCAACTCTGGAATCAAATGAAGCAGAAAGGAAGAACGGAATTTAGCTTTTGAATAACAGAAATGGTTGAAATAATCAGTAGTGTTTGTTTGAGGATGATCAGATGGATAGATAATTAGATCTTCTTACTCTGGCAATGAAATGGACAGTAATGAAAAATAATTTGTCGACAGGAATAAAAGCAACGATAAAAAAAATATCTTGAAATGGCTGATGAGATATGATACAAAATTTCTTTTTATCGCAAGGTTTCTTACTTTGGTGGTCAAAACAGTAATGAAAGCAGTGAAAGAATGACTGATGGGATAATCTCCTTTAATAGATTATCTCTTGAGGTTGAGCTTTGGTAGGAACCATTGGACTTATCCCGATGTCTCACCATTCATTGAATAGAATAAAGTGATATTAAGTACTATTCGGTAACAAAGCATTTTACTGTAAATTTGCAATGTTAAAAACAGGTATTTACCTGTCTTCCCACAGAGACATGATGCGACGCAAAATTGAATTTAATGTGGAGCACTCAAGTACATACACCCAGACCAGTACCCAAAATTGCCCAGCCACTACAATTGTCGGTTGTGCTGGCATTGATATGAGTACTGATTCCTCCTCTCTAGTGCAATAATGTGGGTACTGCTGCAGTCAGCTTTTCCTCAGGACTGGTTTCCTACCAGTATTTTTTTACTCAACTGTGGCCCTGTCCACAGAAAGAGATACAACTGAGTTGTACTATTTCAAATATGAACTTCTTCCTTACCAATGGAATATGAAGGGAATGACAATGAGTGAACTCTGTGTACATTGCAAAAATAGAATATATAAAAAAAACAAATGCATCATTGTCTGACCTGTCTTTTTATTTTTGTGTAGTTACTGAACTTGTCCTCTATCCACATGAAGGCTTATGACCACCATATGTTGAAACACCACTTCTTGTATGATCACCAAAGTTAATCAACATTGAGCCTGGTTAGTACCTAGATGGGTGACTGCTTGGGAAAACCAGGCGCAGTAAGTTTGGGTGTGCAGGTGGTCTAATGGAAAATGGCTCAGAATTGGAAATCAGAGAGAGCAGACTTCCAATCCCTGTTTGGTCCATTATATTCACTTATGCCTTGTGAAAAATATGAATCTACCTCTTCTCCCCCAGCTATAGATTAATTAGTCAGACTCGTATCAGTAAATCATTATTATATCCCAAAATTTTCTTAGAATGTAAAAATATTTTCTGGCTTTAAAATAACCTGCAAAGTGTTGATAAGCTGTAAAAAAACAAATCAGTCCATCTATATATCTACCCACATGCAGGTTGTTTGTTCAATAATCTCACCATCATGTGATATTAGTGTGTCATGATACAGATTATATTCTGACGAGGATGTAACTAAACACTGAAGCATTCACAAATCAGATTTTTCTTTATTTGTAATCAAAGTCTTATATGCAATCATTTTTGAAGAATGTAACTTAACAGAAATGGTTGAAAAGAAGTGGTCAGAAGTGTTTGTTTAAGGCCAACCAAATAGATAGATAGCATAGAAAACAGAAAAGATGAAAATATGATTTCCAGTCAGCATAATTTTTTCTACTGATTGAAGGAACAAAGATACAATGTCTGAACCAGGCTGAAATAACCTTAAATGTCAAAATAAATTTGCCCATTGATTGAAAAAACTATTATTGCAACCACTCGTCAGGCTTAGAGGAAAGCAAAGATCTCTTCTAATGGTTATTGGCATTGCCTAAGATGATGTGCCAACTGTATAGATTTGAAAAGTGTATAGATGATGAACTAAAAAGGAAAAAGAACTTTCCAATATCTAAACAATGTGGATTTGGCTGGGTTATTTTTAAAACTGCCGCAGAAGTACTCTGATACATGAGAGTGTATCAGAAGTACTTTGACTTCAGACATGTATTTATTTTAGCATTCTGTTTCATATTCTGGTAGTCATCTGTTTATCTTGTGAGATAATGGTAGAGCCCTGTTTGGTCAAAATTCAGTTCTTTGGTGGTAATACTTTAGTGACTTCTCTAGTGAGCAGGCCTGAATGATGATATATGGAGGCCATATGCTACCCAGATCATCATGCTCTACCCTTAGCCATACCAACAAGATCCAATGGAAAACAAGGCATTATATTTAGGGCGGGAGTGGTTGCAGGAGTTACATAGCCTTTTTCCATGTTTGGACATGACCACAAGGCAGTGAAAGTTTAAATCAAGTTTTTCTATCACCTAAATGAACTGCCTTTCCAGGCTCCATGTACCTGAAGCAAATGGTTGAGGTCACCAGTAGTTCACCTTTGTCTCTTCACCAGTTTGTTTTATTGATTGATTGCTTCACATTCTATGGCTTATCAGCCCTCTGCATGTTATTTCAAACCAGAAAATATTTTTAGATTTTAAGAATTTTTGTTTTATTTGAGATAATAATGGTATAGTGATACAAAACTTACTAAATAACTCATAGATAGAGGTAGAACATGTGGATTCATACCTTTGTTGGAGGACAGATATTTTTCTGACAAGATTTCTCGAATATTCACGCTGGTAGATGGAGTTGGATAAAAAATACTGTTTAATTAAAAAACAGAGCTTCTACTCGAATATTAGTATTGAAAAAATAATGTTTAAACAAAATAAATTAAAAATAAATATAAGATCAGACTAAATATAAAACTTCTTTTGACAGTTTGTTTCACTTTGTTAGGTCGTTAAGTAGATACCTTCAGGTCAGAATGAATGAAAAATCTGTGTGTTTTTATATTCAAATTTTTATGATTAACAGTCTTAATATATAAAGTTTTTTAAATAAAAAATTAAGGTTGTCTGATTTCTCTACTTTTATTCTGATTCTCTATCCTATGAAGTTCTTATTTTTATTTGTATGTGTGTGTGTGTATATATATATATATATATATATATATATATTATAAATTAATTGATTTAATATATATATATTATAAATTAATTGATTTAATATATATATATTATAAATTAATTGATTTAATATATATATATATATTATAAATTAATTGATTTAATATATATATATATATTATAAATTAATTGATTTAATATATATATATATATTATAAATTAATTGATTTAATATATATATATATATATTATAAATTAATTGATTTAATATATATATATATATATATATATATATATATTAATTGATTTAAAATATATATATATATATTATAAATTAATTGATTTAAAATATGTTTTTTCCGCTACACAGTTCTAACCATGTTTCAAAAATGGAAACTAAAAGCCCCAAATTTAATTTTGTAATTTGAATTAAAAACATTAGTTCCATTTCATCCTCAAGTGAATTTTTCTAAATAATTATATTTAATTATAATATTAATGCTCTGTAAATTTACATCAAGCACTATTTTATAAAAATACCTATAAGAACACCGGATTATATATCTTACTGTTCTTTCTTTTATATATATATATATATATATATAGAGAGAGATATGAATATTTTTTTATTGCACTTGCAGAAGTGTCCCAATAATCATCCTATTAAGCACTCTTACGTTATTTATCCTGTACTGAAGATTTCAGGGTCCTGTAAGATTGAGCACTTTTAATGAAAAGACACACACATTTGGTATTCTTGTATACATATTGTGTTTTTCCTGTACAGTTGGCTTCAACATCTCTGCTTGTCTCGAAATGGTGACACCATTTTATACCATCAGGTGGTTATTCTCCATAGATCAGAAGGATTTTTATATGTATTATGTGTTTATTCAAACCAACTATAGTATTTTGGGCCAACCAAGGCAAAATGCATTCACCCACAAAACTAAAAAAAAACCTTTGTCAGCAGCTTGATGATTACACACTGGATGTGTATAAAACTATAGTTGTGACTGACCATTGACTTAACACCACTTTTTTGGTTTGTGTGTGTATATATATATATATATATATATATATATATATATATATATATATATATATATATTATATGCACAAATCCCTTTCATAAATAAATAAAATAAAAAAATAAATAAATCTCCATAGACACGCCAACCAGACTAGGGTTACTACATCTTCCGTTTCAAATTTAGACACCCCCACCTTTCCCTGACTTGACATCTATGAAAGTAACTCTATACTGATACTTATTATTAACACCCAACACACACCTAGCCAATTTAAACAATTCACCCTAGCTGTTACCATGGAAATTTTGATTTCAATTATTAAAACACGTAAATTTCAGAAATACGTTATTCCAAAAAAAATTCGCTTGAAGATGGAACAGAGCTTACTTTAACTCAATTTAATTCAAATAATTATATTGAAGTTTTCAGCTCTTGTTTTGAAACATGAGACCTCTTATGTCGTGAGTTGGAATCATATTTTTAAATAAATAATTATATATATATATATATATATATATATATATATATACTAACCAAATATCCACAAATATTCTTAAATGCCTATAATTGATAACAGAATAGTAAATACTTCTCATTGTCACTCTTGCATGGTCATGTGTGACGTCATGAGCTGATTCAAAAATCGTATGACTCATACAGCAATCACTATCACTTGACTTAAAATATTTTTGCCCTTCCTTGCCTTTAAAAGAGTGCCCTTTGACGTGCTGATGTTGCTACATGCCTTACTTCTTGCCTATCTCACACTGCAAATTTTTTCTAAGCTCTATACTAAACATTAAATCTGTTACAAAAAAAGAACTAAACAAAATGAACACAAAACAATCAGCTTTAAAAAAGGACTTGTAACTGGAAAAACCGAATGAAAAAAGAATGTTAACAACAAATACTTTTTCACACCCAACCCAGTTCTGCAGAATCATAATCAACGTTGAGTTTAAGCAAGTGAATGAGCCAATTGGAGTAAAGTGCCATGCAGATTTAAATTTTTCCCCCTTGTGACGAATGCAGCTATTGATTTTTTTTTAATGCTAGCATGCTAGTTAATATTCATGTCAGTCAGCTGTTGGCTCTCACACTGGCCAATAGAATCTTCCTGCCTATTCGTGGCAGCCAGCTATAAACTCTCACTCTGGCCAGCAGAAAATGGCTGCAAACTACATGAAAACTGCCGTAGAAGCATGAAAAATCGATTATTTCCACTATCGATGGGAGTTGGGAAATACAAAGTCAGTCTTGGCCTTCCCACTAACTTGGAGCATGTGCATGTAAATTTTGGTGCAAATCCGTCGAAAATTGTGGCCGTGTAATTGTTACACACACACACATTCTGCCTTTTATAGATATATATATATATATATATAATTTTGTAAGTGTTCTTAATAGAATGATTATTAAATGCCTCATATAATAGTTTTTAAAAAAATTACTCCTAAAAGAGTACCATGATACTACATGGAATTGTACTCAATCCCAGAACTTGAAAATAAGTTTCTCTCAAAATTGAAGTACTTGACATGATTTTCACTGCACATAAAATACAAGAGAAATTCAATGAACCACAGCAAGGACTCTGCCATGTATTTGCTGATTTGATGAAGGCCTTTGGCCTTGCTTTGGAAGATTCTATTTCCATAGAAATTGCTCAGACATCCCTTAGTTACACCATTTCTAACAATCAGTACTAAGAGCCACCATGCTATGCACATTGAAATGAACCTCCCTCATTCCCTTTATATTTTATTGGTAAAATGTAAGCTTCTACCTGCAAGCCAACTCCAAAAAGGATGTTTTCCCTGATCACTATAATCTTAACCTGCTCAAGTACAGGGTTCACAATTATCTTCCCCATATATCTGCATAAAATGTGCCTTTTAATCTGTAGCCTACTATGTTGAGAGTCTCCAAGGCCTTGTACAATGTGAAACTGTAAAAACATAAATAAATGAATAAAAATACAACAGACATTTGTTCACAATATTTTGTCTACAGATAACCTGTAACTTTGAATTACAGAGACATTACTCTTTTGTTATCATACTTCTCTCATGACTCAGTTCCAAAATCATGAATACAGTAATACCAGTTACACAGTGCAGTTCTCATCAGAACACAGGTACAACTGACATAAATTTCACTACTCACCAACTATAAATACAAGTACTATGAACAGTGACTGGGCTTGTACCAGGTTTTCATTGAAATGATGACAGCCTTTCACACTTAGCAGAGGGTCACTGTGGAAGATTCTAGGAAAACTGGGGTGTCCAGATCACTTTGTCAAACCGATCAAGTACTTCCATGATGTCATGGAGGTTAGTGTTAATGTTTTACTTACAGAACCTTTCAAGGTTGAAACTGATGCAAAGCAGGGAGACTTTCTTGTGCCAACATTGTTCTCCGTTTTCTTTTCCATTGTCATCATTGATATTTTCAGAGATTGAAGTCATAGGATCTACATCCTGGGTATAATGATAAACTACATCCAGCAGCAGGGCCTCTGTTTGGAAGGTTTTGAGGAGCATGGGATTGCCTCTTAATTGCTGTCATTCCCATGCCCACCCTGATCCGGGGTGGTAGCACCTGTTATAGTGAACCCTCAAACGGGGGTAAAAAACTATGGAAATATAAATTTTTTTTTTTTTTATAGTAAAAACACCAGCAATACATTTTTGAAAAAATTACCAGCAATACATTTGACTCTCGACAAAAACCATTTTTACCAAAATACATTAATGAAACCTGATCTACAAACTGATTTCTTACAAAAAAATATGTATTAGTATGAACCTATCCTAAAAATCTTGTCAGCATTAAATAACCCAATGCGGTTAATATGCTGAAAAACAAACTGAACCAATAAGATACAAGTACTCTGGAAAACTTTTCAACACATCCTGTTTCACTGCCTAAACCAAATTTCTACTTGTGCTTGTTTGTAATTACTTCCATCTGGATAACAGTGACCTAGTCGCACATAGGGAAACTAATATGCAGTGTTTTGTTAATAGGATTTTGGAAGCATGCAGGGCAATTCAGTCTTGTGTTCAATTTAGACAATACAATAGTGACTTTCCAACCTGTCCTATGTACAGTATGCACTGAGCCATGCATTTATGTTGATATTAAAAAGTTGAAGTCCATTGACAAACCTCTCTTTATACTTGAGCAGCACTATTGACTACTTCTGTTCACTTGACAATCAGATAGCTTTACACTTGAAAAAAACAATGAATGCTTTCTGTACTTTGAAAGATCATGGGTGGTCACCAGAGACAGCTGAAACAACTCAACCCTCATCAGCATTGCTTCAAATCAATTCTAGGTATCCACTGGATAAGTCAACTCCAGATAGAGAAGTCTTGGAAAAAAGAATCTTATCAGCATTGAAGAACACATCACTGACATCAACTTACTGAGTGTGTCATATCATATGACTTAGTGATGACTACATTCTGAAACAGCTGTGTTTATGGGGAACTATCTGTTGGTTCCTTTCTGCAGAATAAGCCAAAGAAACATTGCACTGATTATGTCAAAGATTCACTAGCAGAAGGGCCAGTGCAAAGGTCTTGTGCCTTTCCAAAATCTATGATACTGACCCTTCCCACTCCAACAAATCTATGATATGGGTTCTCCCCACCCTACTATATCTCAATTTTCATAAAGTAGTATTCATATAAAATACAACTTTTATTGTAATCCAATTATATACAATACTTGATCATATACAATATAGGTGAACAATTTGGCTAGAAAAATTGAAAATAAATGCAATGTATCTAAATACAAATTAGAGACATGTCATAATAGATCATTCCATCTTGAATAAATCAACAATGTTTTGCAACAATTTTTAGTATCAACTTGAGATTTTTCTTGTTAAAAAGTTGAATAATTTTGGCACATTTAACATTATGGATAAAAAATAGTTAATTTTATATAGTGTTTGTTTGAGACTTAGCATGAGCAAAAAAAAATCATTGATTTGGACAAAAAAATGACTGCAGAAGGACACAACAATTTGTGAAAATTTTTCCTCATTTCATAGTTGTGCTTAATTTAATTTGTGATATATATATTAATGTTGATAGAAAAAAGCAAATGTTGTTAAGATAGCAAGAATCACAAAGCACTGCCTTGGACTCTCAATCAGGCTTAGCTCCTCCCCCTTTGGTCTGGAAGTTTGGTCGTAGTATACTCTGCCTCTGACTACCAGTGTATAACATTGACAATTCCAACTTGTAAATGGTGGCATGTGATAAAAATAGGTGGCAAAAGGTGGTGCATAGTGGATACTGCTGCTTCCAAAACAATTTGAATACCTGGGCTAAAACAAAGAGAGAGGGCAGAAAAGGTGGTAATATCAGTCCAGTTGTGTGACATTTTGTTTGATATGTATGTAGGTGAGTTTCTTTGTCAAATGCAGGCTGAACCAGTTATTGGCATAGCCATGTTAAAGGACTATTAATCAACTATGTGACATTTCTTGACAACAAATATATGACATATGAGGGGTGCAGAAAAGTCTGTGAATGTTGATGTGGATTAACATGACATCTAAAGGTCACAATGAAATAATGCAGCTGTAGGTTTGTTGTCTGTGGGAAAGAATTTAAGTCACTTGCTGATTTCAAAGTCATTGTTGGTGTCATGACCCACAATAACATATTATGTAAAAAAACACAATGCTATTCCTTGTTTGGACAGCTCCTATATATATATATATATATATATATATATATATATAGAGAGAGAGAGAGATATACATACAGACAGATAGACAGACAGCAACCAAGAGACAGACAAACAGGAAAATAATGGTGATTGTAAGGAATTTGAGAAAAAGGTAATTGATCATTCAATCTTGAAATGATCAAATGTAACAATTGTGGTGGAATCTTCTTATCCATAGCAGAACTTGCTAGTCATCTAGGATCTCATGATAAGTAAGTCCAAGCAGACTATATTGACAACCATTCACAATGACATAGAGGAAATTTCTGTCAGTTTTGTGACAAAATGTGTGGGTCAGCAGCAAGTCTGAAGAGTAACATGAGAGTGCATAAGTACTAGATAAAATCATACAGAAGACTTATATCAGACATATATGCAGGAAAGCCTGTATAAGTGAAGCTGACTTTTAAGTGCTCCCAGCCTCTCAGTTCAAAATTGAAGACATAGCTTTCTTCTGCCAAAAAGTAGCAATCACTATTATTATGTATTGATTGTTATGATATTATTATTATATAAATTTATTTGCAAAATTAATGACGAATTTTAAATTTATTTTAAAAAAAAAAGAGAGAAAAACATTGTGATCAATCAGCCACAAATTCTCAGGGCTCATAATTTGTCCAGAAAATTTAAATGTTTGTGATTCTGTTCAGTACTGAAGTGGCAAATGAATTTTGGTTCTTCCTACTTGCTAAATTTATTTGTGACTCATCCAAAAGAGAAAAAATCCAATTTTCAGTCAAAAAGATTGTCTTGAATATTTTTAGACACACCTCCAGGTTAAATTTTGTGAAAATCCATCCAAAATTGTCTCCTCGAGTTCAAGAATGTACTCCCAGGCTGACAGAATTAACCGGGGAATATTTCAGGACAGGTCCACTATATCTGTGACATCTCATTTAAAATGGTGAAAAATGAAGTAGAAAGAAGAAAAATATATTAGAAGTTTGAAGCAAAGACGGAATAAACTGTTGAAGAAGAAGAAAGTTGAAAAGTGTTCTCAGAAGAAGAAGTAAAGAAATAAGATGCATGAAAGTGATCAAGACAAAGAACTTCAAAAAAAAGAAAGAAGGAAAATGCATTAAGAGGGAGAAGCAAAGAGTGAAGATGGATGAAAGAGTTCAGAAAAAGGTAAAAAAAAAAGGAAGAAAAATACATTATAATCAAATAGTGAAGATGGACAAAGGAATGTGAAAAAGAAAGAACAAACTCAAAACATGGTAAAGAATGAAGATAATGGCAAGAGAGGAAATAACAATAGAAATGTGAAAAAAGAAGAAAAATGTATTAATGATAGGGGAGAAAAAAAATGATGATAAAAAGATAAAGAATATCAGAAATGAAAAATAACAAAAAAAAAAAAATTCTAAAATCATGATAAAAATCTTAAACTGACCAATGAAAATTCAGTAAAAAAAAATAGTCAAAAAAGCCTCAGTTTTGAGAAATTAAAGAAACTGAAGAAGAAAAAAATCCACTAAAATGCAAAAAAAGAAAATTTAAATGTCATCAAACAATCTCTGGATATCTTATTAATTTTTTCAGAAGATAACAATTAATATGAATTTAATTTCTTTTTTTTTCTCCATTTCTTCCTATATATAATTTATTTTTCATATTTCAAGGAATCATAATTTAAACTGGCACTTCCATCTGAGTTAAAAATGAATGGATGGATGAACTGACAGACACTTTTATTTTGGGCGGTGTTTTTACTGTCCCTCATGTCATACTGAACCAACCTTAATTAATAGAAGATAATTCTGTTGGCATTTAATTTGTTAATGAAGATTAGATAAAAAATTTAGGCTGGAGTTAGAATGATTGACTTTTTTTTTTTTTTTTTTTTTTTCATGTTTTATTTTTTTGTGGGAAGTTAATTTAAGGATTGGTGGCAAAAATTTGTGCTTTAAGAATGGAAAGAAAAAAAGAATGAAAGTCTGGAAAAAAAAATCTATAAAATAAACTAAGTCACTTACTTTCAACCTGAGGCTTTTTTAAGAAAATTGTAGGGTTTGGTTAAGGAAATAGACAGAAAAAAAATGAACTGAAACTTAAATAAAAGATAACCAATGAAGTAAAGGAAGAGTAAAAAAAAAAATATATAATGAAAAGAAAAACTAGGTAAAAAAAAGAGAAAAAGTGACAATAATATGGATGAAAACAAAAAGAAAATCAAAAGAGAAAGTGATACAAAAATACAGAGAAAAATAATAAGAAAGTAGAAAGATAAAGAGAAAAAGAGATGAGGAAGTAAAAGAAAACAGAAATGAAATAGTGAAAGGTAAATAAAGAAAAAATACAAAGAAATTAAAAGAATAATTATGAAAAATGGGGAGAGAAGCAGAAAAAGTGTTAGAAAATGGGAAAAAGTAGAAAAAAGAATTATGTTAAAAATAGAGAAAAAAAAGAGAAGAAATATAAAAGAGAATAAAATTAGAAAAAAAAAACATTAATAAAGGAAAGTTAAAAAAAAAACTGAAGAAGAAAAGCCAAATTGAAAAATAGAGAAAAGTCCAGAGAAAAATAATGAAAGCCAGAAAGAGTGAACAACAGAAACAAATTGTGAGGAAAATAAAGTGTAAAAGAGAAAAATAAAAATAGAAAAGCAAAAGAGAAAAAGAAAAAAAAAACTTTAAAGAATTAAGAATGGAAAAAGTTTTCTCAAAAGTTTTTTTATGATATAATTATTGGGTGCGGACCAAGAAAAATGGTGGGGAAATTGAAAGAGGAGGAAAATAGAAAAAGTTGTTTGGAACCTATTTTTTTTTCTAATTGCACAAAGAAAATATGATAGAGGAATAGAAATGGAGAAAGAGTGAACAAAACTGTAAAATGTTACTCTAAAGAGATAGTAAAACAGATATTGAATGGGAAAATGTTTCAGAAACTTCATCTTTTCTAACTGCAAGAGAGAAAAAGAAACATAGAAAGTGAAAGAAAACAAAAGAATAAATGTGAGAGAAAGTGACAATGAAAATGTGACAGAAAAAAAAAGAAGACACATGATAGAGTTGACAAAAAACTAAGAACACATGAAAAGAAAGAGTGATGAAGCAAGAGAGAACTGGGACAGAAAAAAAAGAAAAGGAATGTTTTTAACTCCCCCAAAATTGTTAAGGCAATATTCACTCACCAAATAAGAATTATTATTATGATCTAAGATATATTTTGACTTTAAATAAACAACAAAGAATTGATAAACCATAAAAAAATCAATCCGTTAATCAAGCTCTCCAGTTGTGTTAATATGCTTGCCATGCTTCTTTTAGCTCATTTTTTTTAATCAGTTAACCCAATCAAAGCCATAATGCAACTAAAAAACAAGGGATTTCTGAGAGTGAAAGAAAATGAAAAAGGAACAAGAAATTCAATCCTAGACAACAAACGAGGGATAAAACACTACTCCTGATCAAAAATGTTGGGGAGGAGTAGGAACTGGGCGATAGGCAAATCTATCTACTCCTATGAATGTTAGTCTTATTACAATGGAACAGATCAATCCAATCAGTGTCGTCTGCATGATATACATTTAAATGCAATATTTAATAACAAAATTGGTGCTTGAGGCACAGGGAAGTAACCTCTCATATTGAGAAATCAGAGAAGTGAATTTGAATTCCAGTTAAGTTCACTACATCCACTTACAAGGGTAAAAGTATGAATCCATCTTTCCTCACCCAGCTAGGGATAAATAGCAGAACAGACTGGGTCTTATCGCCTTGTTTGTCGATATTGAATTCAAACTAGCTTGAAGAGAGCTGGTCTCAGGCTATCTTACTCAGGAAATACCATTGCTACAATGGCTGCACTACGTGTGGTGCCCTTAAAACCCTAAGGGATTACATGTCTTCTGATTGTGATGCATGTTACCATAATAAACAGAAAACTCCTTTCTGCAATTGCCTGTATGTGATATTTAATAGTAAAACTTGATGCAGATTAAGATACAATTGTTACATACACACTATGCCTTCTTGACCTCATGTTTCCCACTGACATGAAGTGAAGCAACTATATCAAATCAATAGCTGCATCTACTGCAAGGAAAGTTGGATCACTGTGTCATGCTAGAAAATTATTCTCACCAGAATCCCTCCTGCACATTTGCAAATCTACCATTTGCCCGTGCATTAAATACTATTGCCATATCTGATCTGGTGCTCCTTCTGTACATCTAAACATTCTTGACAAAATCCAAAGAAGAATCTGTAATATAATCGATCCTGACCAGACATCTTGACTTCAGTTACTTTCTCACCAACATGACATGGCTTCCCTCTGTCTTTTCTACAAATGGAAACTGCTCTAATGAGCTTTATTCCCGGTGTCCCAAATACATAAATTTAAGCGTGCTACTAGATTGATATCTAGGTCCCACCCTTTTACTGTTGAACTAGCTAAATGCAACCATCACTTCTACTCCAAAAGTTTCTTTTCTCGAACTTCCCAACAGTGGCACACTCTTCCATTTACAAGCTTCACTGATAACTACAATCTTCAAAAGTTTAAATGAAACATCAGTCAACTTTTGTTTTTTTAAACTATGTTCATATTTTGTCCTTTCCTTGATCCTCCCTATTCTCAGTCTTCACTTACACTTCCTGTAACCTCTTGCATACTAGTGACATTATTACCTTGCTTGGGGTGAAATTATTGAAAACATTTTTTGTATCTATCGAATGCATTAAAGAGCTATCAATTTTATTTCTCTGTTTAATTACTGTTGCTATTTTAATTGCTCTCATTTTTTTTTATTTATGTCAGTTATTTTATTAAGAAACAGAAAAATTTAATTAGAAACATGTACTGAATTCTTCTGTAACATAAGTCCACCTATATGGCAGTGAATGCTGATCAATCTCCTTAGAAATGAAGAAGTGACTTGAAGCAACATAAATGTAGTTCTACAGAAGGCTGCTGAGAATATCATGAACCTAACATGTTAACAGCAACAGTTTTAAAGAAAATGAAAACAAAAACCACATGTATAATTAACACCAGGAAAAGACAGTTGAAATTTCTGGGGGACATAATGAAGAAAGAGGGCTTGGAAAATGTGACACTCACAAAATAGATTGAAGACAAGAGGGTCAGACAAAAGCAATGCATAACCTACATAGCAAACTTCATGGAACATGGTTTATGAGATATAAAAAAGACAAAATTTATTAAGAGCAACAAAGAACAGGAAATTGAGAGCCATGAACATCAATGTCCTGATGAGGCATACAGAAAAAAAAAGGAATTTCCAATTGTTACAAAAATCATCCAGAACAGCTTTACCAATTCAATGAATCTGCTCCAGATGGTATTAAAAAAAATGTATAATTGTTGTCTGTTTATTATGTGAGTCAAATATATACATGCAAAAAGCCTCTACCCTGAGTAGCTCTTATGCCTTGTATTAGGTGAACAATGGCATAAAATTCACTGAAACACTGTGATTTGGATATTAGACCAGCTATAAATAATGTAGTGATCAATTAACATCAGATATCTGAAATAGTTAGAACAAACAGATACAGTCCAGGGGAAGGCTCAAATGATACTGTACATAAAACATTATCCTTCTGTAGGATTTTATGAAAATGTTTGTTTTTTTCCCCTCAATGATATTAAAGCTTAAGAAAATGACTATATTACTTTGGAAACTGAAATAGAAATACTTTATATTTGGAAATAAAAAACTAGAAAACAATCTCCTGCTTTCTGAAAAATTCTATTTGCGTAAGATATCTATAGATGTATTATCAGAATGTATCCCTTTGATAACAAGATAAGTCTTAGTTGTATCTCTTTCTTTCTTTATATATATATATATATATATATATGTACATATAATATATATATATATGTATGTACATATAAGTCAACACTTAGAGGCGACAGGGTGTTTCATGATAGACGAAATTGTCAGGCCACGATATATGTACATATATATACATATATATTTATGTACATATATATAAATAAACAGTATTAATGACATTTACCAGCCTGAATGTCCAAGAAATTTTCATATAAAATATGCGTCCTCCGACAGGAATTGAACCTGTATCCTATACGGAACCGTCATACAGTCTGATGTCCTTTACCGATTTAGCCACAGAGGAGCATTTCGATTAGCAAGATCGATTTTACTGTTTTTAAACTACAATTCTCCATGATTAAAAGTAGATAAAAACATATATATATATATATATATATATATATATATATAAATATATATATAAAAATACATATAAATTATATTATGTGTAGGTAGAAAATGGGTATATATACCCATTTTCTACCTATACATAATTATAACCCAAGTTTGCATTTTTATATTCTTCACTTCCTATGCAGAAACATTAACAAAAAATTACTGTAGTTCTAAAGGATGAAAATTTGTTTTACAATTTGTCATTAATTTTCCTAACACATGATATAAAAATATTCTTGAAACATCTGTACCAATTTTAATAATTGATTTTAATATTTGATAAATTATATTTAAAATAATTTATCACTTATTTCTTCCATCTAATTTATTTCTGTATACATTTCTATCTATCTATCTATCTATCTATCTATCTATCTATATATATATTATCTACTTTTAATCATCAATATATTTTTATTTATCTATATAATTTTATCTATCGGTTTATCTAGCCTGTTACCTGAATGCATATGAATTTAGTCACTTAATGTTGCCCAATTCATGATCAATTCCTACCCTATTAAGTGGACCTAGAATAAGGCAACTACATCCTTTGCAGAGAGCTGGCTACCAAGTAAATGTTTTTAAACTTGGCTATCAATATTAAGTATTAACCTCTCCTCAAACCACAGACTCACAGCTTACAGACTCAAATAATGGCAATAGTGAGATCAGCTGTTTGCTTATGAGAAAACCTTTGTCATTCATTGACCAAGATGCCTGTACTATTTTTGGTTGAAATTTGTAAAATCTTTCTCTTAAAACAATTTTTCAGGAAAATATGTTTTTCAAGTCCAATAGCTGTATCACTCTTTTCAGTATTGATTGGGGTTTCCCTCCTAATCTTTTGCTTGAAGTTGTGTCGAATGTCATCATGATGATTTTGTCATTATTTTCTGATCAATTTTATGTGATATCCACTTTAGTTTTTCTTGCTATTAGAAATGATCTCAAGTGATGTAGTTTTAGTTCTTTGTGATTCTGTCACACCAGTTTATAAAATCTTGTGAAGAACTGTCCTCTTCAAGATTTACAGGATTTCCTTCATTTAATCCATATATATATATATATATATATATATATATATATATATATATATATATATATATATATATATATATCAAATATGTGGTGCATTGATTGAAAAAAACTACTACAACAAAAGAATTCTCCAATTACCATATTAGTAAAAAAACGTACTCTCATTTAAAATTTTCAAAAAAATTCAATCTTAGCATTGTGACCGCATGCTCCAAAATTTCTTACTGTTAAACAATAACACATTTCTAAAAAAACATATTTTGACTCACATCTAATCTTTCATGTCCTGTTATTATCTGGATGTATTATAAAAAAAACCAAATCAATTTCCATGCCTGATGATGTCTGTATGTACAGATGAAAGTACTAGCAAAAAAAGACCTTATACAAGTTGAATTTATTAAAACAGGGATCACAACATTCATCTAGAGGTTCGTGGGTTAATGTAATTTTAATAAATTTGTTTGTGAAGAAGCTATATTTGTTATAACTTATCAATGTAATAATGTATTTAAGTGTTTGGTATTTATTAATTCCACATTGTGGATTTAATGATGAATTCAACCCATGCCCCATCCCTGCTTTCATTCCAATTCCAGATCATAGTTTCTGTTTTAGAAATATTTACCTTCAGTTCTACTTCTTAGAACACTTGTAAGAGAATGTTCTTTTTAGGTTCAAAATTGTTATCATCACAGTTATGAATACCTATGTCATCAGCATAATGCTCATCATCAGTAAACTAGCATTATTACAAC